GTTTATTTCTCCTTAAACTTCGTATACTCCTCATCTTCTGTCTCTTATTCCCATTGACCACAAATACGTCCTCAATGTTCTAAAATTCGTCTTTCAAATGTTTGTCCTCACACAGGGCTCGAGCTCTGTTTACAAAGTTCTTACTTATTCCTTTCTTCGTGTATGGAGGATGATTAGATTTCTCTTTCATATTAATGTTTGTATCTGACTTCTTGTAATCTACTCTAGTACTCTCAACTAGTTTCGCGATCGGTTTCCTATCAACCGTTGCTTCAAGTCCAGAACAGGTATTAGATCACTTTCCATAGCTTCTCTTTGGTAAACACAATTAATCCTTTCTCCATAGTATCCAAACGTTCAAGCATCTTTTCCCGAATCTTCCTTCCGCGACATTTCATCTCACTGTCATCTATATACTAATACTATTGATCCAATGGGTACGGTGACGTCTTCATTACTCGGACTTGAAATTCCTCCATGTATATTGTATATATCATTGCGATCTCTTCAGTTGCCCCCCGACCAATCGGACTCGACTCTCTAAGATGTCATGCATCCCGTTGTATGCAGAATAACTTATGTTGAACATCCATTTTAACAATTCCAAATCTAATTTGAAATTTAACTCGGTCAAAGGAACACAACGGAGAATGTGCGGGCTCGTAAATAGATACATTTAAATTGCGCGTGCAAAAATGAAAGTTGTACTAGCACACGTCAGCATTCAAATGTTTGTAGTCATTTTTTTTATTCATAGGCTGAAGACCGACAATTAAACTGCACGAACCGTTACGAAAATAAAAAAATATTGAAAAAAGACCTTCCGTATAATCCTATATAGAATTAGAAATTAAAACTAATTTATAATATGAGCGGAAGTGAGAGTTTTAGAATGTCTAATAACATGATTATAAAACTGATTTGACTGATTTTTTTTATTAGACTTTTGTTATGTATTATTAAATATACAACAGAGCAAATATTCTCAAACAATTTCGAAAAAACGCATTCATAAATATTTGTTTTAAAACTCCACCTGCATTTGTTCATTTCCAGATATCTCTTGAAACTATTCTATTTAGTATCTCGTACCTAGGGCATTTGGCACCTTCTTGAAACCCGCATCTCCCCTCCCCCTCCCCGTTAGAATGCTGAGTTGTGGTATTGTATCATAATTAAACTGTGCAATACGTTCTCAATGAAAACATGATGTCATACAGAAATATTCTTGGGGGGAAGGTGTATTTTTGGCTTTTCATGAATCTTATCTGAAAAAAAAATTGAATTTTGACAATGTTTTTCAAGTTTCTCGAACATTTTGTCAGTGATATTCTTTTAAGAATTAAAATTTTCGTTTATTATTCTTATGTCATAAAATATTAATAAGCTTTCACTTAATTTTTTATGCTCTGTTTTGATATAATTTTTTCACTATAATTATGAAATATTTGCATCTGCCATTTGGTAATGCATGTGAATATCTCGAGAAGAAGAGGCGTAAAATCTGTGGGATTTTAGGAACTATTTATTTACGAAATTTCCGGGACATTCGTTAATTTAAAATTACGTGACAAGACGAAGAGCCGGTGGGATTTTATTAGCTATGATAAAAGTTCGAGCACCGCATATACGCACTATAATGCACTGTGTTTGAGCTTGGTTATCCAACAAATTATGGGGTTCACTCAAGCTTACCAAAACAAAAAATTGCCGTTGAGAACATGGGTGCTGTCCTGTAGTATATAGCTGATGTGTCTGTGTTAGTGGGGGGTGTAACACGCCCAACATTGGTTGATGAGTAATTTCAAGTAAATTGAGTGGTGACTTTCTGGTAAATTATGGAGCAGTAGCATGGAAATTAAAAGTGAATGCCACCTAAGAATGCAAAATTCTAGTAATTTCGCGTGGTTTCTGAAGATTTATATATTCCTGAATTAAAATTCTCTCGGTGTGATACATTTGCCAGAACACCAAGACTTATGCTGATGCATTCATTTAATTGAAAGAAACACCATGCTACTTGAGTGAACACACGAAGGAACCACAGGAAATTTGATCCTTCATCCTCCCCCAAAAATAATGTATTTTCTACGTCTCTGGGACCCGCGAACTGTTCTCGACTAATCAGATAATTTTCTTACATTCAGCTCTGCATGGCTACAGGAACTGTGCAAATTCAACAGAATTACCACAAACAAAGAGAATTTCGCCATGTTGGATGAAATTTAAATTGCAACTGTGAAAATATTTTATTAAACTCATCCTATATACTGGCGATGATGTAACTTGCACACCAAGAATCGGAAAATGCATATATATTAATTTTATTTTATTAACGCCATTATTGGTTCAGCTGACCACTTCAAGCGCAGACTCATGCAAAAATGATTAATAAAGGCAAGTTTCCAAATCAATCTGTTCACAATATATTAAGTGCAGAAGTATAGTCCCACAAACACAGATTCGAATTACAACTGCGAACCTCCGACTTTTCAATATGGAGATCCTCTTCTACAATAAATTAAATTAAATGTTTTGCGATAATTCCGCAAGCATAATACATAAATTAAAGGATTGACGGCGAAATTAGTATAAAATATCAGAGACGTCATTCCAGCAAGAATCACGTGCACCAAATTATCTTTCAAAAAACGCAGGGAATCATGGGGCTGAAAATATGTCGTAGGAGGCACAATACAAACAAACGCAATCAATGCAATCAGAATGATTGTTTTCAAAAATCGCTTTTCCTTAAGAATCACGACTTTCAGTTGAATTTTGTTAAGCAATATTCTTCGAGTGTTTCTTCAATTTTGAATATGCAGCAGCGTATATGACTGCAAAAAGTATTATAACGATTACACAGTAAACCTCAAACATCTGGTTGTTTTTACGACCATAAAATAGTCGTAATATAGGGATCGCGAAACTTCCCAGCCAAATTCCGGATAAGCATAAGACCATAACTTTCCCTTAATCAAATGGCGGTGTTTCTAAGGATAGGCCACCAATAAAAAACGATCAACAGAAATTGAAACTATGGATGCGAGTGAAGCACTCTCAAAAGACAAAACAAAAAAACTCAAAAAACGAATCTAAACCAGTAATGATAATTTCGTGGAGAAAATACGGAACAAATAAACACATCAATAAATCAGAAACTGATAGATTGATAACAAGGTATGTCCCTGGTTTTCTGAAGCATTGTAAAGGATCCTTGATAAAGGCAACGAGAAGTAACACGTTTGACACTGCTCCCTCAAAAGCTATTACAAAAGACGGTAACGTGCTATACTTGAATTCCATTCTGGTGATATTGTTCTCTGCTATGAATTTGCAATAGAGGGTGCAGAAGTAATATCGTGTATATGATAAAAATTTTAATTAAAATTTTGGTTTAGAATCTCATAAATTTATAATTGAGAATGCTAAAAATATCTTTATGAAACTTGACTCATCATCGACGAGATTACTAATGTTTATTATGTAATGACTTTCGATTCAGTGCTTACCTTACGAGGTCTAAAACCAGTTAAAACCTGTATTTACAATATGCATGAAAAATAGGTACGCTGTAGCGTACATGGCGTTTTCTGCATCAAAAACAAAGAATACACGGAATTACAAATTTTGTTAGAATACAGATAGGCTATAGCATATCACACAAATATACACTTTAATTTATAGTAGCTTAAATAGCAAATCTGGTGCGTCAATCAGTCCTTGGATGTTAGTGTATTAATTATACCATTTCCAAGATATTAATTTTTCGCAATATAGTTTGCAGCCAAAAACATTTATTGACAGTACGCGATATCTCTTCAAAGATTTCTTCGTTTTTGTGTTCCAGTGTTCCGATGACACGATGGCTGGACGTGATGAAGTATTGCATTCAATTTAAAAACAACTTTATACACTAGTGAAGTATAGTATCTTTCCAAGATAAATATGTAAACATTTCGTGTTGATACTTCCAATTTAATATTGTTCTTTAGGTATATCAGGTACTTTTAAGGACTGGAAACAAGCAGAGGTAGTTGCTGCGCCCCCTGTTGTATAATCTCTACATAAATGATATATCGTCAGTCTGCCAAACTTGTATAATGTTGAATCTTACGTAGATGAATCGGAACTTTACATCTCGTTTTCCAACAACGATGTAAATGGAGGGCTTGACGACCTTAGACAGGATTTGAATCGAGTTGCTTCCTGGTGCTGCGAAAATCGACTTCTTATAAACCCTAATAAGACAGATTTCAGAGTTCAGATGGCAGCAGCAGGATGAAGAACTACATGGAGTAGCTAATTTGAAAACGTCATTACCACTTGATTATCGTATTATACTATGCTAATGCTTTGGTATAAGATCATAAAAGACATGTGCAGTCATATAGAGTTATATAAAATTTAAGCATGTAATATGAAGGCATTATAGACCCATCACAAATAACAAAACGAACATGTAAATATTTTGAATCGGGATTGACATAACTTATATACTATACCAATGACAGAATCAATGCGAATTTGAGTCAAACATCTGTATGAATTGAGACGCGTATACCAAAATGATATAACATGCGAACATTTATTATACACAAAACTAAACATCGTGCCAAGTCGTTAAAATATATAAACACGTACCGTTGCACTGCATATTTTCAATTTATATAAAGGTGAGAGTTCATAGTTGATAAGCTTTTTTAGCAAATACACTAAAATGTATCCATTTTATTTTGACAAATACATCTGATCTGTGTTATATTATATACGTTAATTTAAGCACGTTAGGTGAAAAAACAGCCTGAGAATAAGTGAAACACACGCCAAATCATTGTGGGAGAATGGGTTCAGGGTGAAGTGAACCAATTATATACATTATACTCTAAAACTCTGGTCAACCCGGAGACTCATTAAGCCTTATATTTTCATCCCGCAGGGGTATATATAAGACCTGCTAGGAGAGACTAAATGCCCTAGGGGTCATAATCCCCAAATAGAGCCCTGCCAGAAGGGTAGCGAGCCCCTCTAACATAAACCTGAACCAAGGGGTCATAATCCCCTTGGACAGTCCCTACGATTCGACTGATTATATTTACTTAAATAACTGAGTCTATGGGCCTGAAGTTGTCCATTGGGAACACTTCAACCCCGAACCAAAATTTATTTGTTTCAACATAAACCAATTTAAGTATTTACATAGCGATAATTTTCCATGAGAAAATTGTTCGATAGTCTTTCTTGACAAATTGTTCTTAAATAGTCCTTGCATAACATTAGTTGGTACCCATACAATGCACCAGATTTCTTTCTCGTTGGGTTTTGGCACTTCCTTCGACTTAAGGTTTCCATGTGGTTTGCCTTGGTTAGGCTTGTCCCCGTGTAATGCAGTAGGGTGTACCTCGCCACATGAACGATAGTTCTTTTTCCGCCTGCACGAACGATTATTGTGACCCCATTTGAAACATCCCTAACAAAGACGTTTCGAAATAATAAATGCCCGTCTATTTGGTATAGAAATCTCCAGGAATTTGACACACGTATCGAGTTCATGTTCTTCCTTACAATAACTGCATCTCGGTTTTGATTTTACGATGTCTTGTTGATTAACTTGCTCGTTGGTCTGTCTACCCCTTTGCTCCTCATTGCTACCAGTAGCAAAACTCATAGCTCCAATACCACCCGATTTAGGAATCCATTTTCTCTTATTGAGATTGGACGTTTCCTCGCTCTTTAAGGATCGCTGGCTTGTGACGGGATGACAGGCGATTCTTGCTTCAGTTGTCAGGAAACGACAGAACTGGCAACGCATCATGGCAAACAATCGAGCTAGTTGCCTTCACAGGGACCTTTTCAAAAAGATTTGGCCATTATATCGCGGAAGGCGTGCTGGAAAATTGGTAAAATTGAGGGAAACTCAACGTCGCTACACAATAAGATCAATTCAACCGGGAGCGCTCAACCGTGCGACAACAACATCGTCCTTTCCAAGTATACTAAGGTGCCACAACCCAGTAAACTGTATTAACATTACCCCAATGACAAAGACAAAGTCAAATGAGATCAGTAGGAGGAAAGGGTCAGAAAGAGTATTTGTGCCAAGCTTTTTGCTCTCTAATGTTCAATCTTTGGCACCAAAAGTAGACGAAGTTCAACACTGTATTAGCAATGCAAATTTAGATCTTGCTTGTTTGACTGAGACATGGCTTAAAGACCACATTCAAGACTCTGTGGTCGCTATCAATGGCTATAATCTGATTCGTCTTGATAGGAGGTCGGCTGATCACGGCGGTGTGTGTATGTACATCAAGAATTCCATCAAATATTCCGTACTTCACGACTTACTTGACCCAGTTTTTGAAGTTCTTTGGGTTAAAATCCAGCCAACTCATCTCCCAAGAGGAATCAGCACTATTGTTGTGGGAGTGCTTTACCATCCGCCTCGCGCAGACAATGCATCCATGCTTAATTATTTGATTGAAAAACTCACATTAATTGAATCCCAGCACGCCAACTGTGGAGTAATTATGCTCGGCGATTTCAATCATCTTAGACATGTCATTAATAAACTAAACCATATCTTTAACCTGAAACAAATCGTGCCGTTTGCAACCAGAGGTTCCAACAAACTGGACTTAATTCTAACTAACCTTCAGAATTTCTACAATACACCAGTAAAGCGTCCCAACTTCGGTCTATCTGATCACGCAACTGTTGAAGTCCAACCAAAACAACGTGTCCAACTTCCAAGAGGGCAGATAACTGTCAAAAAAAGAGATCTGCGTCCAAGCAGCCGCTTCGCTATGCGGTTGTACCTCCAACAAGTCGACGTACCAAGCCTCCTCGGGACTGTGGAGACCTGCACGGAGAAAGTCTCACTACTTGATACTATTATAAAGACGGGATTAGACTCAGTTCTTCCTCTACGATCCAAAACCATCCATTCAAGCGAACCACCCTGGATGAACCCATCACTTAAGAACCTTATTAAAAGACGCCAGTGCGCATTAGCAAATAGTAATATGGTCACCTTTCGACTTCTGAGAAACCGAGTTAACCGAGAACGAAAGATTTGCCGGGAAAAGTACTATAAAGCTAAGGTCAGTCATTTGAATGAGTGCAAGCCTTCCCTATGGTGGAAGGAGGTTAAAAAGCTAAGCGGCATGACATCTGCCTCAGAAAGGCGGGACGATTCCACCAAGTTGCTACATCAGCTAGGAGCACACGACATGTTAGAACTGGCGAATAACATCAACGATGCCTTTCTATCTCCAATGCGCGACTTCGTGCCATTTCTATCTAACTTCCAGCCAGTACAAGGCCCGGTTAATGACCCTGTGGTGACGTCACTGATAGTTTCATCCTACTCAGTTTATAAGAAATTATCGAGTTTGAACTCCAGCAAAGCACAAGGCCCTGATAATATCCCGGCCTGGTTACTCAAACAGAACGCTGATCTATTGGCTAACCCTGTTTCAGACATCCTTAACAGCTCCTATTGCGAAGGCTGCCTCCCTCCTTCCTGGAAAACAGCTGACATAGTGCCAATCCCAAAGAAAAACCCACCAAAGGACATAAACAAAGACCTGCGTCCAATTTCACTGACACCAATTACGTCCAAAATTGCAGAAGAATTTGTCGTCGAGGAACATGTGAAACCAGCGATTTTGGCCAAGATCAAGAAAAACCAATTCGGCGCCATCCCCAAGTCCTCCACAACATTTGCTCTTATCACCATGTTCCATAAATGGACAAACGATACTGACGGAAATGGCGCCACTACAAGAGTTGTCCTCTTCGATTTTCGCAAGGCTTTTGATCTCATCGATCATAATATTCTTGCCACGAAACTCGTGACCTTAAATATCCCTCATAAGGTCGAATGTTGGATCATAGACTTCCTTAAACACCGTAAACAGTGAGTCAAATTGGCGGATGACTGCAAATCAGAATGGAGGGATATTCCAGCAGGTGTTCCACAGGGGACCAAGTTGGGGCCGTGGCTTTTTCTACTAATGATCGATGACATTGACATCGCTAACACTGATATGTGGAAGTTTGTGGACGACACCACTATGTCCGAGTGTGTGGAGAAAGGCAATGCGAGCACGATCCAAAATGCAGTGACTGAGTTCTCAGATAAGGTTCATGCTAACAAGTTCCAAATGAACGAGGCAAAATGTAAAGAGCTCAGGATTTCATTTGCTAGGACCAATCCCCAATTCGATTCGGTGATCGTCAATGAAAAGCCACTGGAGATTGTTCAACACGCAAAGCTGCTGGGCCTGAATATATCGAGCGACTTAAAATGGAACTTCCATGTATCAGAAACAACCAAGAAGGTTGCACCTCGTTTCTATTTCTTGAGACAACTCAAAAGAGCAGCCATTCCAACTAAGGAACTTCTGAAATTTTATACTACCTGTATTCGCCCGATCTTTGAATATGCATGCCCAGTTTATCACAACTCGCTACCCAAGTACCTATCAGACGACATTGAAAGGCTGCAGAAGAGAGCTCTAAGAATAATCTACCCTTGGATGCCTTACACTGATTCCCTCGAAGAAAGCGGTCTGCCTCGCCTCTTCGAACGCAGGCAGCTCTTGACGTGCAAGTTGTTTAATGAGATCACTCGAGATCAATCCCACAAACTCATATCTCTACTACCATCTGAAAATAACCGTTCATACCAACTGAGACGTAAAAGGCAACTTAACGTTCCAAGGGCCAAAACTGATCGGTTTATGAATTCTTTTATTGTTAGTAATTGTAAATATTTTTAATCATTAGGTTTCTTAAATTTTTATAATTGTAAAGTTTTAACACAATTCAGCCATTATCAGCTGTAAAGTCTTTTAAAACTGAATAAATCATCTATCTATCTATCTATCTATCTATCTATCTATCTATCTATCTATCTATCTATCTATCTGACTCATCACTCTCTTCATCTGGGCCTACTTCAGAATCATCACTTGTGGATTTGTCGACTATTCTATGGTGGCCCATCATTATCACCGCTATTTTCAGGAATATTTTGCACATTTTATGTTATTTTAATTATTGTTTTCTTTATAAAATTGAAAATAACTTGAATATGTATGACAAATTGGAATTGATTATTATTTCGATTTGAGAAAAAAATTATTTACAAATGTATAATAATATTAATTATAAGTTGTAATTCAAATTATTTATTATTTTAAATTTTAAAAAAAAATATTAAAAATGCAACAGTTTAAAGAAATAAATTAAAATTTAATTGATAACGCTGGGCCGTCAGCCCGTTCGATTTTTCGATTTTTTTTTTCGAACGGCCCAGCGTTATCAATTCACTCCGTAAAGACTGGGTTCTAATTTAATTTCCCGCCATTTTGGCCGCCATGTTGTGCTATAGTATGCTAGTATTTGCTATAAATTAAATAGTAAATTTATCGTCAATGCGCTCAACACTGCTGCAGCAGCAGTGCTGCTTGTTTGTTTTTAATAAATACTTGTACAGTATTTATGGCTGGAAATATCGACTGGAAGGATAATGCTGAGCTTCAGCACGACTTGAAGAGTTATGTTCGTCAAAATTTACGACGATCTGAAGTACTTGATTTTGTACGACGTGATTATTCGCAGTATTCATGGAGTCTTGCTACTCTTGATAGACGTCTTCGTTACTTTGATATTCACTATATTGATTATGATACTCCACTTGCTGTGGTAGCAGATGCTGTACAAAAAGAATTGGATGGGCCTGGACGACTTTTGGGCTATAGAGCCATGAACCAAAAACTGCGAACAGAACACAAAGTACAAGTGCCAAGACATCTAGTCCATAATATGATGGCAAACTTAGACCCAGCAGGTCTAGAGGCAAGAAACCTTCAAAAGAAAAGGAAAAAGCCAAAAGGACACTTTACTTCGGCAGGTCCATTGTGGGTAGTGTCGTTAGATGGACATGACAAGCTATGCGGTTACCAAAACTGGACATTTCCTCTTGGCATATATGGATGTATTGATACTTTTTCTCGAAAGATTTTGTTTCTATTTGTATGCACTTCGAACTCAAATCCTTTTGTGGTGGGTAAGATGTACCTTCGACATCTGTTCGAAACAAAGGCCCTTCCTAGGTATCTGAGAATTGACAGAGGAACTGAAACTGGTAAGATGGCTACTATTCACACATATCTCATAAACAAATCTGGAATTATGAATGACCCTACAGATTCTGTGATATATGGTCCATCAACAAGCAATAAGATAGAGCGGTGGTGGCGGGATTTGCATGAAAGGTTAGAGAAGTTCTTTAAACAACAGTTAACAGTCCTACTACAAAGACGACAATACAATCCATTCTTCTCACATGATCGCCAATTGCTTGCCTACGTTTATGTGCCTATTGTTCAAAGGGAATGTACTAATTTTGTTAATTACTGGAATTCACATAGAATACGTGCCCAAGATAAGTTGGAAATTCCTACTGGCATACCTAACCACATGTTTGCTTTCCCTGAGAATTATGGAGCCACTAATGAAAGCATTGATTTGTCAGATGACGACATTCAGGATGTTGCTGAAGTTTCTGGTGTGATGGATGAAGAACACATAGTTAATTTCATTGATCCAGATACAAAGCAACAATGTGTGGGACTGATCCCAAATCCTGAGAAAATTGAAGCTAAGAATGCAATTGAAGCTTATCGATTTCTTAAGCAAAACATTCCTGATCCTCCAGGAACATGAAGTTACTATTAAGACATTTTCAGGGGTTACATATACATGTAGTATAAACCAATACTTATATCTTTGAGTGATGTGCATAAAATGTACATACACTGTACATACACACAGTTGCAAATTATTTCAATTTATTTACTGTGCAGAGGCTAGTTTTAGTCTTATTGAAATCAAACTAGGCATTGTTCTCATTTTACACTTTGTGTTATTGATACTGTGATACACAGTGCAGGAAAATTAGTTACATGTTTTCAGTAAGTTGGTAATGCTACTAATTCAGCAACTGGTCTTGCTATGCATTATGAAACCTAGTTTGGAAATGTATTGCCTCCAGACAATCTTAGTGCATGCTTACTCAAGTAGCAAAATATCACTAGTTTCCATGGGTAGCTTCACAAACAGACCTTAGAAGTGCTTGTCACGCCAGTGCCAAACAATGAATTGCAATATGTAATGTGGGACACATGTAAGAAAATAAACCTAATGTTTGTATTGGTTCAAAAATGTGTGATATAAGCACTTCTAAGGTGTATTATGCCCTCATGCAACCCACCTCATTGGTGCTTCCAATAATAAAAGTAAAGGAAGGTAAAACATGCCTTTGCTTTGCTAATGGTAAAATATGCTCACTTCAAAAGGGGAAGCTACCTTATAGTTATTTGGCAGTGGTAATAATAAGAATAATACTCATGAAACTGGGTGTCTTGTTGCATGTTCTACTTTCCTCAGGTTAAGTTATACACTTTGGCAAAACAAATTTCAGATGTTCCTTCCAGTTTCTAGAGGACCCCCTTAATTTATACTCTGTTCATGATCAGAATTTTATAGTACGTGAATATTTTTCAAGTTTTAAGTAAGAAGTATATATGTCCTGATGATCCTACTTTAATATCATTTTACTCAGTCTAACACCAGAGATTTTACTTGTCATGGGGAGAGCATTGCCACTCAATGGATTAACTTTATAAATTCCAATCAGAATTTAAAATTAGCAGTATCCAGATGATAACAATTTTGAATTTTGGATACCAAATGTTGAAATCTTGGTATCCTATTTGGACACCCAAAAGGTTCACAGCAAAGAAAAATGCAAACTAGTTGTTTTGACATTAACATTTTGGTTAACCCATTGAGCCGCAATACGCCCCAGTGTGCCCTTCTTATTTTTTTACTTGTCTAACGCCAGACGTTTTACTCATCAACGGGGAGGCTCCGAAGCTTATTGAATTAACTTTAAATTCTGACATTATAGGTAATGGGAAAACCAGTCTTACATTTAGTGAAGTTTTCATTTCATGGCAACCAAATAATATAAAAAACTGAAATCAAGTTTTATTTTCATATTTAAACAACAAAAAAGTCCAATGAAAACACAAATGTGTTGCACAAAACACTTTCGTAACTTGAGTCTTGAAAAGTTCAAAGTCATTTCAATGTTTGAAGTTTCATCATCTTGCAAAATTTATTACATACATGTTTGTCTACAAAACTTTCTATGCTTATAGTTGAAAGGTTTCCAGCACAAAAATATACCTCGTGTGATGTGTCGTTTGTCGCCATAAGGTCAGTAGTCACAATTTCAGGGTCATACAGTTTATACCCTGAACCTTGGATATCTAAGACCATCAATCTCTTCACAGAATACATGTAGGTGAAATGAACTAGGCACTGGGCTTTCTGGAAGATCTCATCAGATTCTATATCATCAGGTTCAATTATGTCTCCATCATTGTTAATGTACTTAGAGAAGACACCTGGTACATATTCTTCAACAGTAACCGGACATTCATTCCAATGGGAATAAAACACTTTGCCATACTGGAAAGTTTCTCCAAACTCCTCTGGTACTTTAGCAGAAAAACGTGCCGTCAAATTCCGTGCAACAGCATGCATTTGCACCTGCTTTCTTGTGTGGTCTTCCACAGTCATTTGTAGTTGTTCCTGTATGGTGGTAATTGCTTCATCTCTGTATTTCTTTATTACCCACTCACCTACCAGGCTAGATGATTTATCTGTGCATTTGGCTCGGAATGCATCTCTGAAGGCACCACTGTCAAACTTGGTTTCCTCTATTTCAACAGACAAAGTCAAGGGAGTTTTTATCCACTCGCATTTTTCTACATCAAACATTTCCAAACTGAGAGTTGTTAACTGTGGAGGTCGTACCAACTTCCCTGCCCGAAGTAAATCCCCAATGGATACTGATTTTGGATAAACTGTTCTGGCCAATTTGGGGCTTGGCGTTTCAGGATGGTGGCCGTCGATTTCTCCAATCTTTGATGGTGAAATTGGCGCGGAATTTGACCCCTGAACTCTAGACTGTTGTGACCTATCATGCTCGGCAGGTGGTAAAAAACGGATAAAGTACACCTTTTTCCCCTTGATTTGTTCCATTTTTGTACACGAAGGTCCTCTGTCCGAGGCAAGAATATCACACGATCCTGCCGGTGCGCTATAGAATTGTTCACAAGCATCTTTAATATTCTCTATTGACAGCTCTTCATAATCTGAAAATGGAACAAAATCTCTAGTATCCAATGGCTCGTATTTTTTCAGTCTTCCACTGGGAGTAGTCGACATCCTCTGTACCAATATATCGTTTGGGATTTTACCAAGCGCTCTTTTTTCTGGCGCACGATTTCGATCTTCTTCGCCACTTCGCTTTAATCCAACTCTTCTTTCAAACTCTTCCCAACTTTCTTTATCTTTTCTTCGTTTCATTACAAAAGTATGTGTGATATATACCTTTTTCCTGTGTGCTATTAAATGCAATCTTTCAAATACTGTAAGTAGACAATAATCAAAATGGCGTAACTGTTTGGAAGTGGAATGGCGGGAAATTAAATTAGAACCCAGTCTTTACGGAGTGAATTGATAACGCTGGGCCGTTCGAAAAAAAAAATCGAAAAATCGAACGGGCTGACGGCCCAGCGTTATCAATTAAATTTTAATTTATTTCTTTAAACTGTTGCATTTTTAATATTTTTTTTTTAAATTTAAAATAATAAATAATTTGAATTACAACTTATAATTAATATTATTATACATTTGTAAATAATTTTTTTCTCAAATCGAAATAATAATCAATTCCAATTTGTCATACATATTCAAGTTATTTTCAATTTTATAAAGAAAACAATAATTAAAATAACATAAAATGTGCAAAATATTCCTGAAAATAGCGGTGATAATGATGGGCCACCATACACTGGAAACGTAGAGTACATTTTACTTTGTCTTGAGCAAAAAATTATAAAGATTAAACAGGCATTCAAAAATATACAACAACCACGAACATCTCGTTATTTCTTCGGGAAAATCTTCAAGTTTCAATGGAAATCTGGCGCATGCGCGACAAATTTCCCAGCTGCTCCAATATGGCCGCCGCCTATTTTCATGGGGGAAACCGCTGAGATTTTTGGCTTCAGTTTTGTATTCCGAGATGCGCTATCTAGTGTATATGAGATATCTATGGTTTTTCAGTGACTTTCTGCCAAAGACTATAAAAATTGCACGAGTCCGAATTCACATATTTCACTTTTGGCACTGTATTTCGAAAAAAACGCACTGAGAATTTCATGTATATTATTAAAACCGAAACATGTAATATATATACTGACCAGTGTTTTTCGATGTTTATATCAGTATACCTATCACCAGGCATGCACAAATAAAAAAATAAAATATCTTATTTCTAGCCTTTCTTTAGCACAGACTCCATAAGTAGCCTGTTCTCTCGGAAAATTCCAAAACGCCTCCTGCCAACTCCAACAACGCCTACGCGCTTAATTAATAAAAATAAACAATGTTTAACTATACCGGCTAATATGAAATATTTAAATGTAGCGACCAACGTTTTTTTATACATTATTTAGTTCTATTATTACTTAGTCACACGTCACGACAACAGGCTACTTATGGAACACATCTCGCGAAAACGGCTAAGAATGTCCGCTGTTATAAATCACATAAATTACATTGATCAGTGCTTTTTTGGTAATGACTAGGCTTGCTCATGTAAGAGAACATCTACTGAGCCCTAAAAATACCACAAAAAGCTTAAGGTGGCTCCCTACAATTATTCTTGTTTAAGCAATAATTCCGTAAAACAGGCTTATTCTTGCAGAATGCGAATTCTTTTCGACTTGGTGGCAATATTGGTCATCTAAGGAATATTTCGAACTAGATTTCGACGATGTCAATGTTCCCATGGCAACATGACGACAGCATAAAGCCTTCCAATTTAACCCATAGATGTGCCGATATCTCCAAAACGATTTCGGTGACCTATCTTTTTTATTTCATATATCAATAAAGAATGATGCTCTGCAACTGTGGTGAAAGTTTAAAAAAATTCTGTAGTGTGTGATTTTTTTTAAAGCGAAAAATTTATTGCGAAATTTCCATACTACATTTTGAAATTTATAAAATTTACCGCAAAATAAATTCGTGGTCAAAATTTGAAGATAGGTCACCGATGAAACTAATGAGTAAAATGTAAATAAATTTAGAAAATAGCCTCGTGTAACCATAGATAATCCAGAAGACATGTCTTCTGGATTCTCTATGGTGTAACTCGAGAAATTTCCCTATTGAAAAGCGTCGCTGACTAGTAAAAGATTCTACGCGGGCGCAGAACGAGTTTTCATTCAGCAAAATCGAGCCGCAATGTTGTTTTTACTGTTTTGTTTTTGTCAACTTTTCGATTTATTTGAGTGCTATGGACAGCCAAGGATTATTGTGAAGGATTAAATCGATGAAAACAAGGTTGAAGCTAATTGAATCCTGCCGTTTACTCAATCTATGAGCTGTAACAGCCTATTAACAGGTGGACGTGTTTTTTTGTTTCATGTTTGGTTTTGTACTTTTTGCTAAAAATGAACAATTAGGCTATGAAACTGAAATATTTTTCTCTTTACATATAATCACTTTAATCTTATAGAAACACAACTAAAAACGTGAACCTTTTCTTGAGAAGTAAACAACTTTTTAAACGTTTGTATGCAATTTTGCAAATGGTTTACAGTTGAGTCAGTTGACAGTGTATAAAAAAATTTAAAAATATTGTTTTATAGCTATTTTTGGTCTAATGATATTCGTATCATATGTAGAATTGCTGTATAGACTCGCAAGTGATTTAGCACTCAAATGAAGTATTATTCAACGCTTTTTTCCATTAGAAATTATTCAACGCTTTTTTCCATTGCTTTGTTTTGATCATGCAGTTGCGTGGGATAGTTCACGTACTTGTCCCGCGAACATCCCGCACGGAAATGTAGGGAGCTTCCTTAAGCGGATAGTCTAGAAGCATTTTAAAAAGTCACGTGATATTTATTTTATCCCTTCTATTTATTTCTTGAATTTTCTTCCCTCGCCTTTTCTCTCGTGCGCCCGCAATCCTTGCTGTTATTTTCGTTGGAACGTCATGTAATATTTTCGTTTTGTCAATTTATTCGCCATATTTGAACAATCTTTCGAAGCAATGTTTCTGAGCATATATAAGCTAGCGCCCTGTTTGAAGCTATTCACTGTAAATGCAAGCTCTTACGATTTATTCAAGTAAGTGCAATAATTTAAATATATTACGTTATGATGTTTTATTCATATTACGTTTAATTAATATGTTTTATTCATATTCATAACACAGCTCTTAGTTGGACCCCCTGTGGTTGGAGAGCGAAGCAAAATCAAGAATTATAGGTTGCCAGCACCAAATGGTAACGTTTTCTCTATCTTTTGGACTCTGTCTCGGTAAAAGTCTGTATAAAGACAGCGATAACCTTTGATGACTTTATAAAGTGAAAAAATGTGTGCCCTGTCAAGTTTCAATATAGCTATGCTTACAGTTCGAGTGTTGGAAAATATGCGTATAAATGACAAAAATTTTAATAACTTCTTCGACACTGTGGTAAAAAAGGCGGCTGCTCATAGTTTCATTAAGTCTACTGTGTTGCAACGAAAAAGAAAACCGAAACCAAGATGACTACGGCGATGCAGCTGCAGAGCTCCCAGCTACGAATTGAAAATTAGATTTACTCATATCGTCCATCACGACACGCTTTGCGCAACCCAGCTTCCAGGCGTGCAAGAATTTGAAAACACTTTTGTTAAACAGTCTGCGGAATGTTGACTTAAAAGACCAACTTCAATATCTACACAAAAATTTGAAGGTGATATCAATGCTCTTGAGCTCTCTGCTCGGTTGCCTATCTTCAGAATCTCCATGAATAGTAAATAGGATTTCTTACGTCCTGAATAGTAAATAGGATTTCTTACTAAATCTAAAACACTTACTCTTTCCTACTTAAAAATATTGAAAAAGATAGCTAAGATAAAAAATGAAAGATTTGTGCTGAATCTTGCACAACTCCAGTATTTGTTTGAAGTACGTTGCTGCATTACCTTGATTTCGTTGTTTGATTAATTAATCAATCATTGACTAATTTTAATCTCATATTGGCTGCACAGGTTTTGATTATTCTAAGTACATTTAGAAAGTTCCTGAAAATAGGTATCGTACTAGAAACTTCGATCCTTAGTAATAATAATAGAATTAACTACAAAATACAGGCCTATTATAGAAAGAAGTTTGAAACTGATTACTCCCTTCCGGGTACGGTATAGCTAGTAAAGTAGTTTTTAAATTTGTATATCAGACATAGCTTGTAAATATTGGTATTTTAACTTACTATATGAGGTAGATCTCAATTAGGGCATTGCGTCCTGTCGCTTTATGATGTACTATATTGTGACGAATTTCATTAAATACAAATAAACACAACTTGTTAAATTTACTCAGACTTGCATGGGGATTTGTAAATGAGGTGCAATTTGATGTCATGGCACCCAGTGCAGGGAGGGCATTGTACACTTAAAGCACATGTCGCACAGTCTGTTTACATGTGTCATCTTTATTTACATTCTTTTAATGGAAATAATTAAAGAGGCTGTCAAGTCCGTTCTGCTCATGCGCGTGTTTTGCTTACATTTTTGTTTCAAACAATAGATAATTTAATTAAAATTCCGATCTGTGGCCTCCAATTTAGCTCATTTCGCATTGAAAATATATCACGAAGGAGAAATTGAACTACTAAAGCAAAAATTTAGCCCCAAAACAACAAATTTTAAATCGAAAACGCTAAGAAGCACTTCTTACAGAGGTATGGCAAAATTTGATTGAAATTTGTACACATTAAGCCATAGATATCTTATATACACTAGATAGTGCATCTAATTATTCTGCAATTCAAAAATTGAAGCCGTGATTGCAGTCTCAGGTCGTTCCCATGAAATGAGAAGATTCGCATGTTTTCTATTTCCTAAACAGGGAACTTAAACATTAAGTTAACCCTATTCCAAATACGTTTTTAAACTATTCAAATAATGAAAGCTATTGTTGTTTTTAAGCGTTTATTAGTAAGTGGGAACGACCAACATGGCCGCCATCTATTCAAATGGGGGTAACCGCTGGAATATTCTTGGCTTCAATTTTACTAAATGAGATGCGCTATCTAGTGTATATAAGATATCTATGCATTAAGCTCATACATTCGTATAAATTGTCATTTTGGAGCTAAATGTACTACAAATTCCAATCAAATTGTGTCCATACCTCTGTAAGAACTAAGAAGTGCTTCTTAGCGTTTTCGATTTAAAATTTGTTGTTTTGGTGCTAAATTTTTGCTTTAGCAGTTCAATTTCTCCTTCGTGATATATCCTGAATGCGTAATGAGCCAACTTGGAGGCCCACAGAACGGAATTTTATTTTAGTCTCCTTCGCGGTTGGTAAAATACCATCGCAATATTCTAAAAAGAATTTGAAATATATAGATGCACAATAAAAATCCATACAAAACCAATAGAGTTCAGCAATATCTTATCGAAAAACACAGAAAAAGTTCAAGCGCGTGCGCAATGAAATATACTAAAATACGTCCCACAATTACAGCGTCTAAGATTTGTAATGTAGTTAAATACGGAACTCGTTCCAGTTAACATTGTGTAGAACTGGTCCTAACTCCAATCCTAATCCATGTTGTAATCACCTGAATATGTTTTAGCTAAATTGCGAAATCCTGAGCCCACGATGCCGCAATGGAAAGGCACACTTGCGACAACCAGAAAAAAAAACGAAAAACGAAAAGACCAAGGCCATTCTATGACACTGGCTGCGGCCAGTGTAATTATCTATTGTTTGACAAAAAAATGTAAACAAAACACGCGCATGAGCAGAACACTTGACAGCCTCTTTAACTCCTCTATAAACAAAGTGGTGACAACTATACTGTACATATTTCCGGAATAAACCGCGTCCGGAATAAATTATCAAGGTAACACGGGCATGGAACTAGGGTTGGGCAATATTAAAAAGATCATCTCACGATTATTGTCAAGGAAATTATCACGATATTCGATAATATCGCGATAAATGCAATAAAAACAATGACCACATTTTAATTAATATCATTGCATAGTAAGCTTATATATAATCTTATTAAAAACAAGTAAAACAACAAATTAAAGTAATATGAATAATACTTTTTGTAGTCTAATATTTACTGCCGTGGGCACACAGCACAAGCAAAGCCTGCAATTCCATTGTTCAGCAGATTAATACATAAATATTAGTGTTTGTATCGTATTAAGTTCGTATTTAATTCAGGAAATAGTTTTAATTCTTTTAAAAACTATATTTTCTCGGGAATTGAAAGAATTTTTTAGGATTTTATAACAGCTATATATATACACAAGCGAAGCAATATCACGATAGTCATCGAGCATGACGATAATTTCGATATATCGTCGCTCAAGTTTCTACTTTCGATACGATAATCGTGATTGAAAATATCGCGATAAATCAAAATATCGAAATATCGCCCAACCCTACATGGAACCTAGTTGAACTGTTTGTATCTTCATCAGCAGGCTCTTTAATATGTATGCACGCGCAGTACTTCATCTTAGAAAATGGGGTGCAAAAGCCCAGAAAGGAGGCAGCCAGGAGTTGCAATAGCCAATGTTATTATTAAATTAATGGAGTGACATAACTTTGTGTTAATTAAGGGTCCCCTGGTTTGAACCGAAAAGAGCCGTGTTGATCTACCTTTCAGAGCGTCGATGGGGGTAAGGGGTTCAACTTGATACTTAAGCTTGATAATCCGTATTTTCGTGTATCATTACCTATTGGAATTCTACCTGCAGGGGGCCACCTTGGGTAAGACGTCTCCGGCTCTTGTCAGGCACAGCCATTAGGAGTTGCGCCACTGATTGAATGGTGCAGAGAACATAACCATTACATTATAATTGTAAGGTTATGCGACTTAGCGCGGCTTTAGGCAACTTAGGGCGTTGGTTAAAGCTTTGTGAAATACAACGTCACAGCCAACATCACAACCAACATCGGTCGGGGGAGCGGGAATGTACATGAATAGTGGTAATACTTTAGTTTACAGCTAAGTGCATACCTAATTTTAGTGTGCAGTGATAACCAATTTGTGCAGCGATAAAGTAAAAGTGTACAGTGATAAATAGTAAAAATGTGCAGTGATAATATTTGTTGTCTTCAAAATGTAAATTATTACATCACTTGCCTCAGTGATAAATTCAGGCTTATATTCTTGAAAACTGAGCTTAAAGTCCATCCTTGGTGTTTACATGTAATAATAAATCTAATTTTAGTGAACTTTCAATCAATCTGAAAGGCAGTTTTATAGGGAGTACATACAGATTACTTATGGAATGTGTGGTGATTTCATAAAGTTATGTATGCAGGCTAAGTGTCCACGAAATTTTTACCATGATGGTGGTATGTAAGTATGTTCGAATTATCGCACCCTATATTCAGGGACGCCGGAACGATGTGAAGGCAAGGGGGGCAGATTTTCGTGAAAGGGCACTTTTGAATTGATATGTACTAAGAGATGTTTGCAAAACATAGGGAGTTGAACTTCGCCTAATCATGTTTTCTATTTATTGGATGATAATGGTGTGAGGGAGTCCTCCGCCAGGTGATTGTGCTATTCTTGAAGCTCGAGTGCATTTCTTGCGTTTTCTGAAGCAAATTCGTAAAAGATTTGCACTAACATTTCTGACAATTCGCTATTTTGCCAAGGCAATCCTTTAAATTGAAAGGGCACCTTTGCCCCCCTTGCCCCTCCTAGCAAAGGGCAACGGGAGCGGCTGCCCCTCCTGCCCCCCAGTTCCGGCGTCCCTGCCTATATTAAAACTTTGTTGGGGTATTACCTCATATTATTACCTATATTCATATTTAAACTAAGATTTCCGCCTGGTGAATCAATAACTGCAAGGTTCCATTCCCATTGTAGCAATGTGCGACAAGCTTGAGAACGATGGAGACTGCCGTTGGATTAATTTATATCAAACATGCAGTCATCTTTTATGCCAAGTACGTACGTTTTGTGCATTGATATGCGCTGGCGATATTTTACATTCACGAAATACTAGTGCGTTTAGGGTATATAATTTCAGTATTCTATCCAATTTCCTCATACCTGTCGGATACATCAAATGTATTCCTTTTAATTTAAGATAACATTTTTCATTTGTTAATTTAAGGCCGACTGTTCTTTAATTACCGAACGATGATTATGTTTTATATTATGTTGTATTTCATATTACTTAATTAAAATATACACGGACTCAGGATCCACACGACCACGGACTCAGGATCCACGTTAATTATAAGTCCAGAACTGGTAATTTTGCCCAACAGACTGTGCTCGATTTGGTTTACAACTCAAGATAAAAAGTCGAGAAAATTTAACTTACCAGATGATAGCTATCGATACGGTCTTTGTTTCCAAATCGCAAAGATTACGAGTCATACGTTTATGTTGATCTTACTAGCTGGTGATATTGCAACAAATCCTGGCCCTCCACAAGCTTCTAATAGTTACAATATTCAGTGTCTTTACCTCAATGCGAGAAGTTTGATAAATAAAACCAATGACCTTCAGACACTGGCAATTGATATTGACCTCTTAGCGATGACAGAAACCTGGCTTAAACCCGAGAACCTGGATAGCGAAATTCTTCCTGGCAACGATTTTAACATCCATCGGCGAGACAGGTCTGACAGAACTGGTGGCGGTGTTTTACTAGCTGTGCGTGAGAACATTTTGAGCATGAGACGACAGGACCTCGAAAGCAGCGCTGAAATGTTAGTATGCGAACTTCGTCCCGAATCGAAGAAGAAGATCGCAGTGATTGTTTTCTACAGACCACCACACTCGGATTTAAAGTACATCAAGGAATTCAAAAAATCTCTTCAGCTCATTCAAAGACGGAGTAAGTTTGATCAAATTATAGTTTGCGGCGACTTCAACTTACCAAATATTGACTGGACCACTGGAGTATCGGCTAACAACAATACCATTTATCAACACTTTACGAAAACTGTGAAAGATCATTATTTGTGGCAATTGGTTGACTTTCCTA